TGGCCACTGCAGCCTTGACCTGCTGGGCTCCGGCGATCCTTCCGCTTCAGCCTTCCAAGTAGCTGGAATTACAGGTGCGTGCTACCGTGCCTGGCTAATTTTTGATTTATTTTAGAGACGAGGTCTCGCCAAGTTGCCCAGGCTGTTCCTGAACACGTGGACTCAGGCAATCTCCTCACCTCGGCCTCCCAAAGTGCTGGGATTACAGTCTTGAGCCACCGGGCCCAACCCATGGGAGGTTGGAAACAATGGTGGAAGTTGGTAGGTTTGTAAATAAACCTGTTTTCTAGTAAATTTTGCCACAAAGAAGGCAATAATTAGAGTACCTCTGTACATTGCAACAGTTAAAACCATCAAAATAGTTTCCTTTTGGGGATTATATAAGTGGTTCTCATATGATAGGTCCAGTAGTTATGGGGGAATAAAAAACTAGTTTCTCGTTGGAAAACTACTAAAAACCACATTAAAGCCAACTTGGAATATTGAATATAACACTAAAAACTTAGTTTTTGTTTACTTTTTGTTTTATGGCATTTTTCTGCATTTAAAAATCTGATTCCATGATCTCATCCCTAAAGAACCATGTAAACATTGAAGTTTGGCCTTCTGTTCCTGATGACAAGATAAGGTGGGAGAACAAGTTTAGACCTTGGTGTACTCAAATCTCCCAAACTCAAGTGATCAGTTTTGCCCTCTGGAGTTACAGCCTGCTGGAGAAACTCTAAGTGTATTCACAGTAGCTGAGGGGCACTTTTTGTCGTGTCAGCATTATTTGAGAGTTCCAATATTAGTCAAAATTATCTGAAAGTATATAACTTCCTAATTTATAGTGATAGATAAATTTGAATAAAATGCTTCATTTATGCTCAGTTTTGAATAATCTGAAAAAAATGGCAGCATCATGATTGTACTTCTCAAATGAAAATAACCCACAGTTGATGCAGATTCTAATAAGTGTTCAGGTGATTAACATGTGCATGCACACACACACACATACACATGCATACATGCCTGCACACATCCTACTGTGAATTATTTGTGATTAATACCTTGGCATTCTAAATTTAAAACATGTATGGCAGCCTTCAATGACTTTAGAAAACTCTTTTGGAAAAAGCTGAATCTTAGGAAAAAACTGTTGTAATTGTTTTTGTTTGTTCCCCACCTCCCCCCAGCTAGCCAGCAGGAGAAAGAGAAAGAGTGTTCAAACATCATAAAATGGGGATCTCCTCCTAAGAGCAAATTTCAACATTGCCTGAGAGTCTTGGTTTTAGGTTTGTTTTCTGTATATCTATGTGTTTGTAGAGATTTGAGTCATCTTAGGATGCCTTCTCATCTATATTTCTTGGCTAAGAGGTCAGGGATAGTGAATGTTTCCTTAAGATAGTTTTAAAGTTTACTATTGGTGTGCATGTTTTTCTTTTCTTTTCTTTTTGAGTGGAAGTCTCACTCTGTCACCCAGGCTGGAGGGCAGTGGCACACTCCCGGCCACCGTAGCCCCAGTCTGCTGGGCTCAGGTAATCCTTCCGCCTCAGCCTTCCAAGTAGCTGGAACCACCATGCCTGGCTAATT